AAATCGTTCCCTGACTCACCCAGAGAGCCGATATCGGAAGAGGCCTTCACCAAGCAGGAGGTTCGGGATAAGTTTGCAGCCTGGAGAGCATCCTTGTTATTGAAGGACCTTACGATTCCGGATGGGTTGCCCCCTGTTGGCCGGTTGTACTACTGCTCCAAGGTGAGTTTTTGTCGTGTGTTTAAAGTCTTTTGCCTTGAACGTGCCAAGGTGAGTTTTGTTCGTGTGTTTAGAGTCTGTTGCTTTGAACAGGCATGGGGGATGCCGAGCTTTGAAAGCGGCTTTGCAGCCATCTCAGTGGGAGAGCTCAAGTTGTACTCGGGTATCCTGATTGGCCAGCGAGTGCGGCACTGGACTCCAAGGAAAGTTTGGCAGTTCGCACCTGATGGTGGGCATGTGCCATGCTGAGGCCCCATGGATTAACGTAGCTTTTGACCTTTGTTCCTTCCGCTTGACAAGCTTTTCCTTCTCTTAGGTGTGAAGTGAGTGTGTCAACTTAGACTTCTAACTACAACCTGTAATATCTTAGAATCATTGTCTTTAGCCAGAGCGTGTTTCTAAATTGTTTGGATCCCATATTGTTCTGCAAAAATTACAAAAAGATTCACGTAAACTACGCATTTTCAAATGATGCTTTGTTCTCCGAACGAATGTCCTATGCCCGTTCTATTTCTATGCGTGCATTTGCCGGAAGGGGCAGCGCAAGCCTCCATCGTAGTATGGTCCAAGCTTGCCTGATTTCAGCGCTCCCAGCTCCGCCAGCTTGTATCCCTTCTCAAATGCCGGTGGCCGATACACATTCACGTTGAGCTGCCGGTACTCTTCCGGATTGGCAGCGGGATTAGGACACCAGTCCACCTCAATGCTGCCCTTTGCATCCTCCACACGCCTGGGAGGCAAGAACGCGGACACGAAGCTCCCGGCCAGCAGCTTGAACGCACCCAAGATGATCCACTCCACAATTGCTGGAGGCTTTTCCAATCCAACAGCGCTCCTGATTGTGGGATCGATGAGTGCACAGATCCCAGTCTCGACCAGCGGCTGCACGGGGCGAGGAAATGCATCCAGCACCAGATGCTTGAGATCCTGGACGATGCTCTTGTTCTTGTCCGTCAAGATGGCGTTCTTGGCCTCGTAATCGCGAATGTACTCCCGCATCTCTGGAATGCTATCTGGGATGGTTGTGATGCCCATCCTCACGCCCACGTCGTGCCACACAACATACGCGGCCTCCTTCTCGTTGTCGGTCCACTTGCGGAATCCAAATCTCTCGGAGAAATCAATGGGGCTGACCACGTTGAGACAGAGGACGTAGGCGAATTGGTCGTTTGGGATCTTGAATTTGTTGTGGATTCCATTCAATCTCCTCACCGCGTATGAGCCGCGATCACTGTCGACGTGGTGGTGGATCATCTCGCTCACCAGAATGTTGGTATCGGCGGCGCGCTTCTGCGGATCCTTGAGGCCGTACTTGGTCTTGAAGAGCAGATTTGTGATCCCCGGGATGCCGAGCGTGCGGATTGTGCCAAACTCGAGCGCCTTTTGCGAGAGGAAGGGGAATTCCACCGAGTACATGTACCACAAGATCTTGTGTGCGTCTCTCACGGGGTGGAGCGACGCTAGAAATCGTGCCCTCTCTTCTCTCTTGCGGATACACACCATCTTCCATGCTGCAGCCATCACGAGAAACGCAATCATCAACACGATTGCAGCCATTTCGAAATGGTGAAAACTGTTTGATCGATCTGATCAACTTGATTGGAGAATGTTTTCTACTCCTCTGTGGGTTGAGGAAACAGAGGCTGGAGAAGGGTCTTTTATACTATCAGAGCTATTAGAGATCACATTTCACGTTTTTTATTTCCGTGTGGTCCGTATTCTGTACGTTACACACGTAGCCACATACTTGGAGAGGAATCTTGTTGTTTTATACGGTGCACGTTTTCCATACAGTTATCTGGTCCATGCAATTTATCTGTCCTACCAACTTGAACGTTTCACGTTTAGAACAGGATTCTGGTTCCTTAATTACAGATTTCCTAGAAACCAGAGATAGGCTATATTTAAATTAGTATACTCGTTATTTACCAAAGTTTTTTTGGTTGTTTCTCTTAAACTAGTATACAGTTTAATCTAGCATAATTTCAAAGTACACTATATAGAAACTATTAAATACAATATGGTTTTTTGGTTTATTCATATTTATAAGAGATTTAAATGAATAACGTATGGATTGTAATGAATAATCTAGAATTTCCTAAAAGGTATATGGTCAAGTTTAGTTTTCAATTTATTTTCTTTTATATTATTTATTTTTCAATTTGATAAATTAAAGTCATGGTTATTATAGATCAACTTCTACGCATTTGGTATAAAGCTCTTGGAGCGGCCATGCCGGATGGATGACACCGCTGGCAGCTATATCCATGGAGTGCGCTGCTCGAGGGTGAAGCTCGATTCAGGCCTGGCCGCCCATCAAGGACCTGGACATCGGGTAACTGTGACTTGTTGTGACTTGGAGCTTCTTACTACCACGAGGGTCTCTTGAAGCTTAATAGCACAAGCTTGGTTAAGAGTAATTGTAACAGTAATGTTGTCCCCAAACATGGCAAGCGCATGGTTAGGGGTTTACTAAGCTAGGAACAAACGGTTGAAACTCTTTCTAATAAATTGGAATTGCCATATTTTATCATAAATCGGAAAGTCATAATAGAAAAAGCCTTACAGTTTGCTCCCTTGCTTTCCACGTTGACAGCTCCAACATCTCTTTTTTAATATATATGTGTGGTGTAGCAATTGCCCTTTGATTCAAGGGTAAGCAGCAGCTTGTTCTGCTTCTCCAATTTGGTGAGAATCTCGGTGAGTGCACTAAGGAGATGCATCAGGTTGCTGTGTTGCTGCTGCTACTCTTTGGATTGTTCGGATCATTCTTCTGCAATGGCGGCAATCTAATTGGTACTTCCACAGCATCAAGGATCCGAACAGCGAGTCAGCAGCAGAATGCCAGTTCCCATTTTGTTCTTGTTCATGGAGCAGGCCACGGCGCTTGGTGCTGGTACAAGGTAATCGATCAACTACAGAAGCGAGGCCACAGGGTCAGCGCCGTTGACTTGACCAGCGCGGGGATCAACGGAGTTGACCCCCGGTCTGTGACCAGCCTGGAGCAATACTCCGGCCCGCTACTCCAGCTGCTCCGATCGGTGCTGCGTGGCCACAAGGTAACTGACATTACAAACCTGATATTTCTGTTTTATTGCTGGTCTTCACCCAAAACAAGTACTGTTACTGCAGATCATCTTGGTTGGTCACAGTCTCGGAGGTGACAGTCTTACCTATGTGATGGAAAAGTACCCTCACCGAATTGCAGCTGCTATTTTTGTGGCTGCAAATATGTTTCCAAGGGGCTCTAACGGGACTTTTGTTTACAACCAGGTACATTGTTTTGATGTTGTGCTTGATTTCATTTGTCTTCTTCTTTGCCAAAGCTGTTCTATAGATACATCAAGAGCAGCAGCAAAGTGGATGCTTATAAGTGTTCAATTGGTGTCAACTTACAGGTTATTACTAACAACAAGGTGGTACAGAACAGCAAAGTGTACTTCTACTCCAATGGATCAAAGACCCCTGTGGCTGCGGCATTCAAGCTCGACTTAGTACAAGACGTGCTCTACCACCTTTCTCCATCCAAAGATGTAGTTCTAGCAAAGTTGCTGTTGAAACCTCGCCCGCTTTTCAAGCACCACAGTGCTGAGCTCTCACAGGAGAAGTATGGATCCATTCCGAGGTACTTCGTGAAGACAACACTAGACAAGCTGATTTCACCCAAGCTGCAGGATTTGATGATCGAGTACAATCCACCAAAACAGGTTTTTCATGTTCATTCCGATCACAGCCCGTTCTTCAGCAAGCCTGCCATCCTGTTGGAGTATCTTCTCAAAGTTGCAAAGCTTCACCAGACGAATTAAACAATAGAATCCTTCAACTAAAGCTAGCAAAGGCCTCATTGAAAAAGTTTGGCCTTCCTCAACACTCCCATGGCCTTGGCCTTCAGAGCCTCGGGTCACTCAATCAGATGTAAAACCTCTGTTTTGTCCATCTCCATGGCCATGCGTGGTCATGTTCTATATCCACCAGTGGGTACAACTGCTCGCCCAGCATCTGAAATGAATAAAACCTACTCTTAATAATCTTTGATGGAAACAAAAGAATCTACACATACAACTCATTGTTCCTTGAGAGATGCAGATGGTAATGCGGACATCTGAAGTTGTGCCTACTTCAATGAGCACTCCCCCAAAACCTAAGGGAGCATCACCATCTGTGATGGTCCTAACAGTCAGGTTCCCACCATGCAAAATCACCATCATGACTTCCAGAACTCATTACAAAAAAGAAAAGTTTTCTTTTTCTGTTGTTGCATGAAAAATCTATTCGATTATGTAATATTTTTTCTGAATATTTTTTAAAACTAAATTCATTTATATGTACATTTAAATCTAAAATTTAAAATTTAAATATTAAACATATAAGTTTTTTATTATATATATAAAATAATTATAAAAGAGGTCTAGTGTAAATGTAGACACTCACAATAATTCTTATTGATCTAATAGCTTGTTTATTGAATTTAAAATTTTTTTTTTAAAAATATTAATTAATTAAATAAGCTTTGTTTGATATTTACTTTCTTCACTTTTTTTTACTAATATTAGATAATAACCTAAGTTTCTTAAAAGAAATTCATACATAAAATTTATAATAACATTTGACAAACACCATCTTTTAAATACTAAATAGTCCATTATATAGTATTTTATTAAAAGATTAGTATAAAAAAATTGAAACTTGTAGCATATTAATTTTAAAAATGTTATATAATAAAATATGTTTTTCTTTACTTTTTGGTCCAAGGGAAATAGTATTTCAAAAGTTATAAAAATATTAAAAAATACATATTCATCAAAATGTAAAATATATGCACTATAGAGTACAATCTTTTAAGGATGCTCTTTAAATTTTAATTTAGTATATGTATTTTGTGATGTATATAATATATTATTTAAAGTAAATAATTATTAACATTTTTGAGTTGGTGTATAATGTGATGACAGGGTACAGTACTTTAAGTGGAAGATATTGACTTTACAAAATACTAAAAGTTGCATTTTCCATTCTTTAATATCATCATGAAACATGTTCTTACAAATTATGAAAATATTGACAGCATGGTTTTTGTAATTGACAAGTAAGTATTATATTATCACAAATTTGTTATTGTTCTACTTACAAATACATTGAATATTTGTTAAGAAAGAGCTAAAAAACCAAATTAAATTTACCCAATACAACTAAACTATTTTAAACAATTTTTTTAATATTAACTATTATATACATTTTGTGTTTTTTTAACTATCAACTATTGGACATCCATACTATATCGTAATTTTTCTAAATACATAATATATTTTTTCATCATTCTGAAATTTTTATTAACATTATATAAAATAAGTTTAAAATTTGATTAATAATTTCTTATAGCTCTTTAAAACCCTAATGCGGGGGTTTTTCTAGGGCTCATGGCAGCCAAGGTCTTGATCGAACTCCTGCGTGGGGCGGAAATGCGCGGAATCACGGCCAGGGAGGTTCTCGACAGGTACTCCCTCGCAATCACGCCGCAGATCTTCCACGAGGCTATGGCGAGCGTGCACAAGACCGACATTGCGCTAGATTTCTTCCGCTGGGCGCCAACGCAGGCCAAGTTCGAGCACGACACGCAGACCTGCAATTCCCTGCTGCGCGTTGTCGTAGATGAGGGCCGTCCAGGCGAGGCGCACAGATTATTCACAGATCTCCTCCTGCCGCTGCACTATCCATCCGTGGCGAGCTACAATCTCCTCGTCCGGGGCTACTGCGAGACCGGGGAGGTGTGCAAGGCGCTGCGGCTCGTCAAGGAGATGAAAGCTCGCGATCTGGCGCCCAACGAAACGACGCACGGTGAGATTCTCAAGGGCTTTTGCCAGATTGGGAGGATGGAAGAGGCCTTGGAACACTTCAGGTCGGTGATTGATACTAGTGGAGTCGACCCTGCCATGTACAATACACTGATTGATGGGTTTTGCAAGGTGGCGAAGCTAAGCGATGCTTTCAACCTCGCGGAGGAGATGATCGTGGACCTGGGATGGATGCCCAGTGCTGTGACTTGCAACACGCTGGTGGCGGGGCTTTGCAAGGCCGGGAGCTTTGACAAGGCTGTCAAGCTCTTCACACGGATGGCGGAGAGAACCAAGAGGAACTCCACGATGGTAACGCTTGCCGCTGCGAATGCTCTGATCGATGGGCTGTGCAGGGCCGGAAGAGTAGACGAAGCTCTAGAGCTGGTTTTCGAGGGATGCAAGGACAAGGCTATGATCAACGCTGTCACTTACGGCATTCTTATCCAGGGGCTTTGCAAGTCGAAAAGAGTGGAGGATGGATTGAGGCTTTTGGAGGAGATGTCGACGAGCAGGGGTCTGAATCCAGACGCCGCGACTTACAACAGTATCGTTGCTGGATTTTGCGAGCTAGACATGGTGGAACAGGCACTCGAGCTTTTCAGCAACGTTACGCAAGGGAACAAGTGCGCTCCGGATCCTGTCATGATTGGCACTCTTGTGAATGGGCTCTGTAAGTCGGGACGGAGCTTGCAAGCCTTGGAGCTGCTCGAAGAGATGGATCGAGTGGGATGCCAACCAAGTTCTCAAGTCTACTGTTTGATGATCGAGGAGCTTTGTAACAGCGGGGAAGCTGACAAAGCTTGCAAGCTTCTTCATGAAACGTTGAGGAAGGGGCGTGCTCCAGCAAACACAGGGACATACACGATGATCGTAGATGGTCTCTACAAGACACACAGGCCGGAAAAAGCTCGCAGGCATCTCAAAGGGATACTGAGCTCGAGCTTGAGTGCTCCAAGCGTGGTCACTTCGTGTGCTATCATCGACGGTCTTTGCAAGTCTGGAAGGTTTTCCGAAGCACGCTGGTTTCTACTTTCGATGGGCCAGATGGGATCCAAAGCCAACACTCACATCTACAATTCCTTGCTCGGCGGGCTGTGTAAGGCAGCAAAGATGGGCGAGGCTCTTGCTTTCTTTCACGAGATGCAAGACGAAGGCCTACCAAGTGTTGTCACTTACAACATTCTTCTCGACGGTTTCTGCAAGGTCGTGAAGATTGAGGAAGCTTGCGCAGTTTTTGTTGCGATGGTGGACGCCAAATGCCTTCCAACTGCAGTCACTTACAAGACTCTAACAGAAGGCTTTACCAGGTCTGGAAAGATGGCTGAAGACTATCAGTTCGCTGACCAGCGAGATGGTTTTCCGAAAGGACTGGACATAATCTTGTCAAGGCTGAAGAATCTGGAGCCTGGCTTTCAAGTTATCTACATGATGGTCGACAAAGGTCTCATAAAGCTGATGACTGTGAACTCGATAATACGGCGGCTCTGGAAGGCTGGAATGGGTGATCAGGCGGACAAGCTAGCTCAAACTTTGGTCAAGAAGGGTGGCATTCCTCCTGCAGTTATGCGTGCGGCAGTCACGGATGGTTTATAAGCTCCCGACAAATGCCGAGCACGTAAGGAATAGTTTTCAATTTTCCATGTTCCGTTCTTAATACTTTCCATGTCTTTTGTTGTAGCTTGAGGACGTCTTATTCTTGGACGGGAATTCTGCCTATGTAGTTCGCTGAAAGGCTGCCGAGGTAGAGAAAGTTTCCAACGCGCATTCCTGTGGTCATGAATCCTATGGACTCGCTCTGGAGCGACTCATACATGTCCAAAGGCTTGCCGTCTTCGTCGACAGTCAATACTCTGGAATAAGAAGTGTGCAGGTAATGTAGTAGCAACCTCTGGCTTCCAAGAATGTGTTTGACAAGTGGAAATTTCAGGGCTTGTTCCCACAAGAAAGAGCGTCCCTGTAAAAGCTTTGTTAACGCATCTTCAAAACAGTAAGACTTACTCCAAGAAGAGCTATCCAGAAATGGTTTCCAAAACGGTGCACATTATCAGGAAGTCCCGGAAGATTGTCAACGTAAACTTCAGCTGTTCCAGCTTTATCTCCTCGAAGCCAGTACCGCTGCAATCTTGCTCTGGGAAAACAACAGAAGACGAAATGAAGGATAAACAGGCGGAGGACCAGACTTACTGGGAAGTCTCACAGAAGACGAGGAAGTCTTCGTTTTCGGAGAGAGCGACTCCATTGGGGAAGAACAAGCTTCTCAGCAGCACCGTGGTCTGGTTCGTGCGAGGACGGTATTCCAAGAGTCGACCATATGGACGGCCTTCGAGCAAGTCGAGATCAAAGTCGTGCAAGCCATAGCTGGTGCTTGCATCCGTGAAGTAGACGGTCCCGTCTCGAGCAACATCCAGTCCGTCGGCCAACCTTGAAGAACAAAACAGAAGAAGATCGATCAGTGGTAGCGAAAGCAACTTAACGGACTTGTAGCTGAGGCCGTCTGCTTGGCCGGAAAGAACTCGGACTCCATTCTCGGTGACACTGAGCAGTCCCTTCTCAACAAAAGGTATGCAAAGTTTCTTTTAGACTCTTTCAAAGTTTTGCTTACCATCTGTGGCTCGCAGACGAGCATTTCATCCTTGGACAAACCAGCAGCAATTCCAAGCGGCCTTCCTCCGACGTAGCTCCAGTTCTTGACGCTGTGATCGACCAGATCAATCTGACGAATCCAGCCATCGCTGCAAGCTGCGTAGAGGTATCTTTCATCTTGGTCGACAGCAAAGTCCTCGGCTCCTGGAATCAAGCCTTCTCCGATGCGTTCCATTCGCTCCATCTCGTCCCTGGCCTCTGGAAAATCGTGGATTGATGGCGGACGAGGAAAATTCAGTGGGAGTGGATCAGCAAGGCGTGAAGTCGAGAGAATTCTCGAGTAGAGAGCAGCCACGGCGATCGAAAGCGCTACCATAGCTACAGTTGCTAAAGCTGCGGCCATGGATTTCTCGTCAGAATTTTATTTTATTTTATCTATCCACGAACTTTATGTAAATAACATTGTTATGTTTTGTTTGTTTATTAGTAATATAAATATAAATTACTCCCGTGATCTGCAAGTTATGTGGCTTTTAATTTTACCACATTCGAAGGTGTGTGTGTATTTGAGAAATTTAAGTAATACAACTCTATATTTTATAATATAAGCAGGCTGGCTGTGGCTAAATATGAACGTTTTGGGGCGAGTGGAGCAAAGGATGGCCAAAGAAAACTTCCATAAATCTAAATATCTATATTGGCAACGACGATGCCTTTCTTGAATGGTTACACTTCTTCTTGTTATGATATGAGGATTATCACTGTTAAGGTTCCATGGGGAGGTAAATTTGTAAATCTAGGAGGTTGGTGTAGAGGCCATGATAAGAAATTGCACTGGGCATCTATTGGTTTGGATTCTCATGTAGCAAATAATGACGGTAATCTAGTTTGGTGAAATTGATTTTTTTGTTAGCAAATAAAAAAAGTAAGTGATTCTTTTCAAAACTTTCTGTGTAGATCGCTTGATTTTCATAATTTCTTGCTACATCATAATAAAAATTAAATTCTAAGAACAATCATATTCTTGGTATATTTTACTACGTACTGTTGTTGGAACTTATTCTAGGGCTAGTTGGAGCGGCTATGGTTCGCATTTGTCTCATCAACAGCGTGGAGGATGTGCTCCACGAGAAGGTGAAAGATGCCCTCAAAATGGACGATCCATTTGAGGACGAGAGGCGATTGCCCTTCAGCGTCGTCTCTTGCTCTGGACAGGTAGTCTGTTTTTTTCCTGAGGATTGTCTCGTCTTTCTGATTTTCTTGGCTCCAGGACGATGATTTTCCTGCGAATGAGCTGAGCAAAGGGGCATCTGGTCGAGGATGGCAAGCGCAAAGGTGAGTTTGAGCAAAAGAAAAAATTATTCTCTTGAAGACTTGATTCCATTCACTCAGGTTTTGCGAATACCCTCAAGAACTGGTGATTGAGCTGCAGTGGCCATCTCATGTTTTCACAATGCAGCTACTTTGCCATGAATATAAGGTTGGTGTCTCTTTAGTTTTTTTTTTTTTTTTTCTCTTGAGCTATGATCAGCGCTCTGATTTGTTTTGTTATCAGATTTCCTCCAAGGTGGAAATTTTCGCTAGTGTTCTGGCTAACGAGCAGATGAGTAGCAAGCAGATGAAAAGACTCGGGTATGCTAGCAGTAACAAAAGTAATCAACGAATGATCTTACTCTCGAGTGATTTGGTGATTTCATATCAGTCATCTATCGCTGGATCCAAACGAACGAACTGGTTTTCAGGCTCGTGAATTGAAAAGCATCCAGATCAACGCGCCGGCCTCCTCGCTGCGGCTTGTACTGCACAATTGCTACTCGAACAAGCTAAATGTTTACAACCAGGTATATGTTCTTCTCACCCCCTTTGTTCCATTTATTACTACTCTTTATGTATTCCGTTTTCTTCTGCAAAGGTTGGCATAGTTGCACTGGTGGTAACTGGCGATCCTTTGAGTGAAGAACAAATAATAATGCATCAATTGCGACACACAATACCCTCTGAAAGTCCAAGGTTTTTTGTTTTTTTTTTTCGGACTTGTTCACAAAGCTGTATGATTTGAAAATCTCTTGTCTCGGATTTTTGTTCCAGACAGAAGATTTTGGAGAAGAAAACGAAACCAAGAGGCGGTGTCAGCGAGAGTGCCAACGTTGATTGCATTACGGGGCAAAGAATCCAGAGGGTATGTTGATCCTGTGCTTCATTTTAAGTATTTGACTTGATGGCATAGCTAGCTTTCTGCTTCAGCTGCAGCAGGAGAAACAGCAGGCCGTGGAAGAGGAAGATTACGACGAAGCTAAGAGACTTAAGGCACATACTTATTGAATTTCTGTATGGTTGACTAACTCTCTTCTTTTTTTGTATAGCTGCTGATTGAAAAGCTCAAAACGTTGGGACAAAAAATTAAAGAGCTGGAACGAAAGAAGAAGTTGGCTGTGGAAGAAGAGGACTATGATCAGGCCAAATACTGCAAGGTAATAACAATCTTTCTGCTAGTAAGACCGACACTCGACTCGCTGCTTTGCAGTTGGAGATAGAAAAGCTGCGTCAATTAAACTCGGAGAATTCTGAAGACGAAACAAGCGACATGGGAGATTTGTCAAATGTGATTCCTTGCTCTGCAAAGAACACGGTGATTTCTTCTTGGTCTTATTCTTCGTTTTGCTTACAACGCATAACCGTTTCCAGCAAAACGATTTCAATGGTGTGGCTCATAGAGAAAGCCGTGATAGCTCGACTCAGACGTCTGAGCAAGTTTCGGAAGACGAGTACAAGGAAGAACTACCCATCCATGGCATAGACGACAATGATATTCAGCAAACCGTAGAACAAACGTCTGGAACTTTAGCTCCAGAGCCCGTATCTGTGCAACAAGAAGACAGGCCAACTTACAGGCAGGCTTTGCACGAAGACACAGGTAAGCATATTTTCTGTTTAGTGAGAGCAGAAAGTTACAAGTTTTGTTTTCAGTGGTAACTGAGATGAGAACCTCTCAAGATGATCAAAGCAGCAACAGCGACGAGGTTTTGACTCCGGAGCCTCTGCCAGAAACGGTGGTGAAGGAGTTTTCGGACGTCTTGACCGTGATGGATCGCTATCATCTGGAATGTCTTCTCAGCAAGCATTGGCAGCTTCGTGACAAATCACTCCAAGTCTTGGAAAAAGAGCTCGAGTCCAAATCTCATATGTCTGACACAGTCACGTCTTTCAGGTAGAAATTCTTTCGAGCGAGACAGAAAGAAAATCATAATCTGAGTATATCGATTTGCTGCAGAGCCATCCACAAAGTTGTAACTCGAGGCTTGAACGATCGAGTCTCGAATGTTTTCTTCAGCTCCATTCAGGTTGGTTTTCTCACTAGATGTTTCATCACAATCTCTTCTCCTTTCTTGCTTTCAAACAACAGGTGTTGCGTGCGTATGTTACGAGATATGCAGCCGAAGTTCAAAGCAGAGAGCTTCACTCCTGTTTGGGCGACATTGCATCGATTCTTCGAGATAAACTTGGCGATTCCAATGCAAGAACGAAAGAAGCTGCCGGTGATACTTTGATGTTCTTTGCGATGGTAAAAGAAGCCGGACTCAACGTGATCGCTCCTCTGATGCTCAAAGTTCCAAAAACTCTGGTAAGCATTCCAGAATCTCTCTTTGATTTCTTACATGACTTTTGTTTCTCTTTCTAGGCACTGTGGAAACCAATCTTGGGACGCTTGCAATGGCTCCTGGTGGGAATACCAAAATTTGGTTTGCAACCGCAGGGTCGGAGTGGATCTCCCGGATTTGCGACAGAACCTCTGATGCATTTCGTGGTCCACTGTTTTAACTATCCAAACGGTGAAGTTCGCAGTGCCGCCATGAAAGTGACCACAGAAGTCTACAAGATCATCGGTCTTGGAGTGGAGAAGTTCTTGAAAGGAGTCAAGCCTGTGATTCGTGAGGTAGTTCTTCTGCTTTGGTTCTCTTCTCTCGTTAAAGTTTTCGTTTGTTACAGGTCATTGTTGGACTGTTTGAGAAAACCGGGGAAGAACTAAGTGCTTCGTGTTCCATGTCCAAAGTTTCTCCTTTGAAAGCTGCGACCGAGAATCCAAAGCAGGGAAAAGGCTTCAGATCTTCAGAGCCCAGTCCAAATACCAACTTGCTTATGAGCTCCTCATCCCAGGTTCTTCGCCCAAAACGTAGAAAGAAAAAAGCTTCCAATCTCTAAACTTTGTTTTGTGTCTTGCTTTTGAAGACTTTCCGGAAAGGAAAAACTATCGTCGATGGTTTTGAGAGGCAGTCATGCCCGCAACCGGAAGCGGTAAGAATTTAGCGAGATTTTTCTGGAACTTTGCTCACTAACTTCGACGCCTGGATTTTTTCTCCAGGCACGAAACAGGTATGCTGATCGATTGGAGGTTTCGCAATCTTCTTCTTCATCGAGTAGTTCCTGGATCGACGCAGCAGGAAGTGATTTCACCCAGGTTTCCAGCGATTCTTCTTCTTCTTCTTTCTTTCTCTTTCCTAAAGTCTTTCACAGCGAAGTGGCAAAGCGAGCAGCAGCAAGGCGGCAATGCGATTCGAACCTCACTATAAATAAACCGAGAGAGAAGCCAAGGGCGAAATTTTAGGGCTTTCTGGAGAGGCGATGGCGGGCAATGGCGATGGCGGAGGTCTCTTCGAAGGACTGCCTCCTCCCTCAGCTCCAGCACCAGCCAAATCGGTGTCGCCGCCACCACCGGTGAGTGCTCCCAGAAGTCTCAAATCGGTCGAGCCGGCCAAGCCTGCGATCAAGCGCCCTGCTCCTCAAGATCCGGCTGAAGGTAGAACGTTTTTCCTCTTGGCATAGATTGTGTGTTCTATATTCCATGAATTTTTTCTTCGCTTACATTTTTTTTCAGTGTTTCCTATCGCAGTTTTATCTCTCTTCTCTCTTTTTTTTTTTGTTGTGCTTGTGTGAGTTTGTATTTTCGATCAGTGTTCTAAAAGGTGTGTTTCTTCTTTTCAGGTGCTAAACAGGTCCGTTTCAAGACCACGACTGAAACCAGCAAGGAGAAAGTGATCGAAGCTTTGCACAAGATCAAAACTCACATCGGGAATCCGTCAAAGTTCTCCAAGGCTTGCAAGCTCGCTTTGCAGCTGCTTGATGCTGGAAGCGTGGGTGACGACGAAACATCGACGTTATTCTTTGAGATGCTTGAAGTCGCCATGAGTCCTCCGACTAAGGCCAACGCAGCAGCTGTTCGAGCGGATTACCAGCAGCTCTTTTCGGCTGTGCAAGACAAACTCAATGTAAGTAGCAACTCTAAGTTACTTTTTTCCTTTGGAACTGACAAAATCGTTCTTGCAGTCCTATACTCCTTCACAGCAAGAACAAATCGAAGTGTGGGCTCTTTGGGCACAACTCGGGAATGACTTTTACACCGATGACACGTTCGTGGTGAGTTTTTTGAGGTCCGCCTTGCATACTAAGTCTTTTGTTAGCGTGTTTGCCAGATTCTAGCGTTGTGTTTTATGCATCACGGCTGAGGTGAAATTATTTCAACCGTTCCTTTGACGAACTAACAGGAGTTTCTTCTTGCAGTTTTCCAGGGCTGCTGGACGACTGAAGCAACTCATCACTGCTCTACCCGAGGCAGTGGCAGAAGATGCCGTGGAGTCAAATCCAGAATCTACTGCTGATGCCGAAGAGGTGGATCCGTTTGGCTTGGACGCTCTTTTGCCAAACAAGGAAGACAAGTGCAAGAAGAAAGCTAAAAACGAGACCACCGGAGGCAAAAACTTGCAAAGGGACAGGAGAGAAGCCTTGATCGAGTGCTTGACAATAGCTGCGAAACGCTACAAGCAGGCATGGTAAGTAGTAGCTCCACTCGTTTTGCCATTCGTTCTGTCTAGTTCTCTCATGGTTTTCTCGTTCCAACAGGGCTCAAACGATCGTAGACATCGCTGCGAAGCACGCGTTCGACAACACAAACCGATTCGATCAATCCCAGCGCGAGAGAATCGTCAAGCTCTGCGTGTCCGTCAGGGAGCAGCAAGTGAAGCGCAAGCAAGGCAAGGGCTCCAGCGGCAAACTGGACGAGACATCATTCGAGAAGTACCGCGAGCTCTACTCGCACGAGAAAATCAGCATTCGCAAAGCCGTGGGCGGCGGCGGCGATCGCAGCGCCGAGCAATGGCTGGGATAGAAACTACTTCCATTTAAATATCGAATATTCGCGGCATTGTTCTTTACTTTATTTCGTTGCGGATGGGAATCGAACTTCGTACCAGCAGTTACGATCTGATTTAATCTCCGCCGTTGGATTCGCACTCTAGAAGTTTCCTTGCGAGGTTTATTTTAGGGCTCCATTTAGCGAGCGTCCGAGACGCGGGAGGTGAGTGTTCTTCTTCGATCGCAATCTTCTAGCTGATTCTCCCGCAATCGAATCTCTGCCAGTTCTTCGCATCTCCTCCGTTCTCGAGGATTTGATTCCATGGCCAAGTTTGGCGAGGGCGACAAGCGATGGATCGTGGAGGAGAGGCAAGACGGCGCCAATGTCCACAATTGGCACTGGGCCGAGAAGGATTGCTACGACTGGACGTGCAAGCGATTCGACGCTCTCTTCGAGGGTCTGGTGGTTCTATCCGGCGAGGGAGGCCTGTGGATCAAGATCTCCAAGGTGGAGAGCGTCAAGGGCGAGGCCTACGTGAACATCCGCAAAGGAAAGATCATCCCCGGGTATGAGATCAGTGCTGTGATGAACTGGGAGGGAGAGGCCAAGGATGGTAGCGGGAATAGTCTAGCAACGGTCCAGGGAAAGGTGGAGCTGCCGTATATCGCTGACGAGAATGCCGACGAAGATCCGGAAGTGAAAGTTAGCGTCATGGACGAGACATCGCTCGGGCAGAGATTGAAGGAAGCGTTCCTGGCCAAAGGAAAGCCTTTGGTTCTCGAGCGCATTGCGAGTTACGTGAAGCAAATGGCGAATGGAGGCCCGGCTCAGGAGGAGATGCAAAGCAAGAACCTGGAAGTGAAAGGGAAGGGATCCAACAAGCCTGTTCTCGACGAGAAAGTTTCGGCCAAGCCGGTGGAGCCACCAAAGGCGAAAGCCAGGGAAGGATTCAAGACCATCACGATGACTGAGCGCTTCCACTGCCGGCCTCGGGATCTGTACGAGGTGTTGCTGGACGAGAACCGGTGGAAGGGATTCACGCAGAGTAATGCCAAAGTGAGCAAGGAAGTGGGGGGCATGTTTTCGATCTTCGATGGAGCGGTGACGGGGGTGAACCAGGAGCTGGAAGAGAACAGGCTGATCGTCCAAAAGTGGAGATTTGCGAACTGGAACGATGGTCACTACTCGACTGTAAGTTCTCCTTTTGTTCTAAGTTTCATGTTCTTTGTTTTGTTCTTACTTTCTTTTCTTCTCTTGATGTTGATGATCAGGTGTGCATGACATTCGAGGAGCCAGAGATTGGAACCACTGTTCTTAAGTTGACACAGACAGACGTCCCGGAAGAAGACAGGTATGACGAAGAAAAAAGGCCCTTTTTTTTGTGCCATGGTGTGATGCTTACAGTGGTTTTGTTTCAAAGGTTTGGAAATGCGACTGTCTACGAGACCACTCGTCGAGGCTGGAAGGAGCTGATTTTCCACAAGATTCGTGCCGTTTTTGGCTACGGCTTGTGAGTTCTTCGCCATTTGAGAGCATTGCTGATTGACTCGGTGCAATATGAGAGCATATATCTTACTTGGTTCATCGGAGCTTGGCTTTCTTGAATTTGTAGGAGCAGTACTTTGAGATGTCGATTCCTAGATCATCGTCAGTCTCAATCCCGACTTCTTCCTGCATTGTGCGACGTAGATTGAGAGGGGTCTGTCTGGAAAGTCACTGATCTTACCTTGAGTTCGCTCTGGTTCTTGGGCATCGATTCCGTGATCATGTCCCAGAGATCCTTGAACATCCTCTTGCGTTTCCTCCATAGCCCGGTCTTTTTGTTGTAGTCGGCTTCCACCTTGTTGCGTTCCTCGGCAGTGACGAGGACCGTCCCAGCTCGTAGCTGGGTGATTCTGGACTCCATGGATGAAATCTAGCACAGAGAAAGTTGTCACCAAGTTTGCTTCGTCGAGAAGAAAAACGATCATACCTCGTCCGAGACCATCTTCATCCGGTCATTGATTTGATCGAGCGTCAAGCTCGACTCGGCAGATCTTACCTCTGCGAGAAAAAAACCAAAGTCTAAGAGAGCCATAACCTTTTTTTTCTCCATACCTGTTTCAAGGCCAGCGACGATCTTCTTCTCGGCTGCAAGGCTTTCTTGCAGCTTGGCAATGTCGGCCTTCATCGATTCGAGCTCCTCCTTGCTGGGGATCTCGAACTGGTCCTGCTTTGCCAGATAAATCTTTTGCTTGCCATACTCCTTGAACGAGATCTTGCCACTCTCGGCAAAAGAATCGAGGATCTTCTGCGCGGCGGTCTTCTTGATCCCGTGCTTCTGGAGCGTGTCCGCCACGATTTGGACGTTGAGCGGCCTGTTTTGCTGCAAGAATCAAGCCCCAAATGTTTTCAGTATGCTCGCGATCGTGGCAACTTACCTCGTTGATGAAATTCAGGATGATAGCTGTTCGAGAGAAGATAGAGTGAAATGGCGAGATCTAGAAGCAGCGAGAAGCGATCTTACCTTCTGCGCTATCGCCCCCTTTCGTCGCCGGCATTGTTCTCTCAAGAACCCTAAACTTTTGGCGGCAAAAGTAGTAATTTGAAAGCTATACACGTGGCTGACACGTGGCGGAAAGTTTTGTTTTGACACATTCTAGGGTTCTTGGGAAAGAGGGTAAGCGAGCGACGATGTGGGCAGCTGGTTGTCTGGCGTCTTGCTGTGGATCGTGCCTCTGCGAGGCTTGCAAGGGCGTCGCCGGAGGGATTTCGAGGCGATCGGCGCGAATCGCCTACTGCGGCCTCTTCACGCTGTCGCTACTCTTGGCGTGGATCCTCCGCGATTTCGGGTATCCGGTTCTGGAGAAAATCCCATGTAAGTGATTGTTTTCCCGAGAATTCTAGTGGATAACCTAGCTCCCCTACAGGGATCAATTCGTTCGCGCATACACCCAACAAGGAATGGTTTGGTACCCAGGCAGTTCTTCGTGTCAGCCTTGGAAATTTCCTTTTTTTCTTGGCCTTCGCGATCGTTATGATCGGTGTGAAGAACCAGAGCGATCAACGTGATTCGTGGCATCACGGTGGCTGGATGGCGAAGCTCATACTTTGGCTCACGGTCATGGTGCTCATGTTCTTCTTGCCAAATGGTCTTGTCGATGCTTACGGTAAGTAGTTCTTCCCTTTTTTCTTTGGTTTGTCTCTTTGTTTCTTTCCTCTAAAAACCTCTTTTCATTTTTCTTCGCAGGAGCTATCTCGAGGTTTGGATCCGGAGTCTTCCTTCTCGTCCAGGTGATCATACTTTTGGATTTTACACACAACTGGAACGCAGCCTGGGTCGCGAAAGATGAGCAATTCTGGTACATCGCGCTGCTGCTCATCTCGATCTTCTGCTACACCATCAGCTTCGTCTTCTCGGGTTTGCTCTTCCGCTGGTTCAATCCCAGTGGTCACGACTGCCAGCTGAATACTTTCTTCATTGTCACCACGATCATCCTGGCCATAGCATTCGCGGTTATTTCCCTCCATCCTCAGGTGAGCATAAAAGCTTTTTGTTCTTTGATCAAGCTAACCATTTTCGTACTTCCCCTCACAGGTGAATGGAAGTCTATTGCCAGCTTCTGTGATTGCCGTCTACTGCACATACATATGCTACAGCGCCCTCTCTAGCGAGCCCCGCAACTACGAATGCAATGGACTCCACAAGCACGAGAACGTCGTCTCCACCGGAACTCTAGTTCTCGGTATGCTTACGACGCTGTTGTCCGTGGTCTATTCCGCCGTTCGAGCTGGTTCTTCCACCACATTCCTCTCTCCACCATCGTCTCCCAGAGCAGGTCTGTTTTCCCTTTTCTTTTTCTCGTTTTGTGATCCCAAAAGCTGTCACTTGCAGGCCAGAGGCCTCTGCTCAAAGACGACGAGACTGACGACATAGAGGACAGGAGAAAGAAGGACGAGCCGCGCCCCGTGACTTACGTCTACTCGTTCTTCCACCTCATCTTCGCTCTGGCGAGCATGTACTCGGCGATGCTGCTCACCGGGTGGGGAAACTCCGCCGAAGGCAAAGACACCATCGACGTTGGATGGCCATCGGTCTGGGTCCGGATTTGCACGCAGTGGCTCACGGCCATACTCTACGTCTGGTCACTCGTCGCACCGCTCCTCTTCCCAGATCGCGATTTCTCTTGAAAAAAAATATATATATATATATATACTTTGCAAGGTATGTAATGTAAGTTTGTTGTTCAATCTTATAAGCTTTTCCACTCCAAGTGGTGATGTTCTCTAGAAACTTGCAGATATCTTTTGCTCAAGATATAAATCTGTGGAGTGATGTAAACTCTAGAGTGCAATGCAAGGTCTTGGATTATGCTTGGAACTCAAGCTGTGAGTTGGAATTTTTGTGCTCTTGGAATGATGTTTTGGCCGCTTTGCACCATTTGGATACATGATGGATGATTGAAAATTTCGTATGTACAGTTCCTTGTCAAAATAAAAGTGGCTCGCTGGGACCACTTTGGATGGGAAAGAAAAAGAGGTCTTTTTCAGGTCACAAGCGCGGCAGCATGAGAATTTGTTTGCCTGGAACTTTTGGAATTGGTTGCAAAGACGGGCATTTTGATCCAGACATGAGAGTTTGTGTGAGATGAAAGCTCGGCTCTTGCGATGCTCCAATTCTTCGCTCTTGGTGTGATCTTGAGCCTCTCTCCACAAGCAAGTGATGGACTCACGGATCCACAAGATGGTTTTTTTTTCTTTTTTTGTCTGGATTATGGTTTCATTCTTGTCTAACGTTTCTTCCCTTGCTTTATCAGTCTATGCATTGCGAATTCTATACGAGAGCCTCCGGTCACCTTCTGTGCTTGGATGGAAGCCCCATGGAGGAGGAGATCCTTGCGGAGAGCACTGGCATGGTGTAGAATGCTCTGGGGACAACGTAATTGCAATGTAAGATCTGGAAGAAAACTATTGTGTTAGCTCACTGTCTCGTAAATTTCATCTTTTCAGACGACTCTCGGGTCTAAAGCTTCGAGGATCTTTGGGCTACGCACTCAACAAATTCACAAGCCTTTCCATCTTGTAAGTTTGTCTAGATTTTGTAAGCTTTTAACTAACTTTGAAAAATAATTTCTTGAAGGGACTTGAGTAACAATCACATTGGTGAAACGCTGCCCTTCGAATTTCCTGCTCGTGTTTCTCATTTGTAAGTCTTTTTAACTATGAAAATTTATCAAGAGAAAAAGGATATTATTTTTAAAAATATAAATGTGGTCTCTTTTTTTTTTCAGGAATCTGGGAAACAATGTTTTTATTGGGCCCATTCCTTATTCAATGAAACGCTTGATGTCTTTGACAAGCCTGTAAGTTATACAAGAGTTTACTAACAAATTTTTAAGTTTTACATGATTTGGAGCAGGAATCTTACCACCAATTTTCTTTCTGGTTATGTGCCTGATATTTTTGAAAAGCTTTCTAATCTTCACACATTGTAAGTCTTGGCAAATTAATTTTTTATTAAGTCTTGCTAAAAACTTTGAATTCAGTGACATTTCAAATAATAATTTTACTGGAGAGCTCCCGGACTCATTTAGTTTATTGAGCGGCTTGGCAACCTTGTAAGAAAAATCAAGCAGATTTTCAAACATTTCATCCAGAATCTTAGATAAATATTAACAGGCATATACAGCAGAACCAACTCAATGGAACACTGCAACTTCTGGAGCATTTACCTCTCAAAGACTTGTAAGAACCAGTCTTATTTTTCTTTAACTTTTACTAATATCTGTGCTCAGAAACATTGAAAACAATGATTTTACTGGCAAGCTCCCTGTTGGCCTACAATCTCTTCCAAAATTCAGGCAAGCTTCTTGACCATATCATTAACATTGGAGAAATATGACATTATAGGGGTGGTGGAAATCGATTTGATGATTTCCCATACAATCCATCTTCCAGCCACGAAGGAACAAACGCTGCATTGCCAATGCAAGGTCCTCGACCACATGAATCACTCAAACCTTACCAGACTAGCTCTAGTTTTCTCACAGGAGCAAAGCTCGCGGGAATCATCGCCGGAGCCATCGTCGTAGCTTTCGTGCTTACATTCTTTGTTTTCACGCTAAGCAAGCTCAAGAGAGTCATCGATCATGGCTCGCAAACTTCCACAAACACAAAGCTTCTTCCTTCACTACCATCAAATGATCCTTCAGGTCTAACAAAATATCAAACTATTGTCTACTAAAGTTCTTGTTTCAGGCAAGGAGAAAGGTGACAAAGAACAAACTTTGTCAAGCATTCGACCACTTCCAATGGAAAAGTACCATCCTCCAATCCAGAAAACGTCCGGGAACTTGGTCTTGTCAACAAAAGCCAAAGAGTTGGATCATCACATAGCAGCAGCTTCGTTTTCGTGCGTGGAGATCCAAGCAGCAACTCGAAACTTTGGAAAGCACAACTTGATCGGCGAGGGATTGCTGGGCAGCGTGTATCGATCAGAATTTCCTTCCGGCCAGGTAACAAAGCTCTCATATAAGAACTTTCGTTAAGATCATGGAGCAGGTATTTGCCATAAAAAAACTGGATAGCACGTCGAGCTATTTTAAAGACGAGGAAACTCTACGAAGAATTATATCCAGCATTTCCAGCCTCCGACATGGAAACATTGTCGAGCTATGTGGATTTTGCGTGGAAAAGAACCAGTGTTTTCTCGTGTATCCATACTTCAGCACGGGAACTCTTCACGATCACTTGCATTCCTCTCCCGAGAAAACTCTCAGTTGGAACCAGCGAATGAAAGTTTCTTTGGGTGCTGCTCGTGCTCTAGAGTAAGTCTTCTTTCTTTTTTTTCTATTCTACCAAAAAAATCACCATTTTCTTTTTTATCTTGAAGATACTTGCATGAGGTTGCTTCTCCAGTGACAGTCCATCGCAACTTCAAATCGGCAAATATCTTACTCGACCAGGAATTCAATCCTTTCGTGTCTGACACTGGCCTGGCCGCTTTGATCCCACTCAGTCTGGAAAGACAGGTAAAAATTCGAGAGATCAAGAGGAAAAACTTCTCACTGTTTTAACTTCGATAGATTTCTTCCCAAATGTTGGGATCATTTGGATACAGCGCTCCAGAATATGCTTTGGCTGGAATCTACACAGTGAAGAGCGATGTTTATAGCTTTGGAGTTTTGATGCTGGAGCTTCTAACCGGCCGAGAGCCTCTAGACAGGTAACTCGCAAAAGGAAAGTTAGAAAGCTTACTTGGTGATTTAAACTTTGTAGCTCAAGGCCGAGATCCAAGGAGCTCTCTCTGGTAGCATGGGCCGTTCCAAAGCTCAACGACTTGGATACCTTGGCAAGCATTGTGGATCCAAAGCTCGAAGGCATGTATGCTGCCAAGGCCCTCTCTCGCTACGCCGAGATCATAACACAGTGCGTCCAAGTAAGCTGAAAAAAGTCTGTACCTGGTAGAGAATCCACTTTTATTTTCGTTACAGGCAGAAGCAGTGGATCGACCTGCCATGTCTGAGGTGGTGCAATCACTGGCTGGACTGATGCAGCGAGCAGGCACAA